CCCCTCCCGTGACCAATTAATGTATTGGTATAGGGCTGATCCATGTTACTTGGGGCCAGACTTAATGCTATACATACCTGTAACTGACCCATAGGTCGCCGGCAAACGTGTCCCCGAGGAGGAGGCTGAGGCCCAGCAGTGGATCGAGAGTGTCATCGGAGAGAGGTTTCCCCCCGGAGGTGAGCCAGCCGCGCATGAGTGCAAATGAGCAGAAAGTTGACAGAGCGTCTCTCTCGGTCCGTCGTGTTGCTTCTTCTCGTCAGTCACACGCCCCTCTGTGTGTACACAGCTCCCTACGAGATCGCCCTCCGCAACGGCATCATTCTCTGCAAGCTGATGAACAGGCTGCAGCCCGGTGTCATCACCAAGATCAACACCTCTGGAGGGGACTACAAAATGATGGACAACCTCGGCCAGTAAGTAACGGTCAACAAATGAAAAGTTTTTGTTCAAACAAAAAAATGAAAATGTTTCCTTTTTTTATACGCGATGCTATTGTCTCCAATCTCTAGGTTTCAAAAGGCTTGCACTAAGTACGGCGTCCCAGACGTGGACCTCTTTCAGGCCGTAGATCTGTGGGATGGGAAGGACATCGCTGGAGTCACCAGGACCATCTTTGCCCTTGGCCGCACGGTAAGACTCGGCTCTCGGGCTATGCATACCTGTTCACGCAAATCATATGCTAAAAGTTGAGCACAAAGGAAAAAAAAAAATTTAAAAAAAAGAACAGAAAATAATTGTGCTCTGGCATTTCTACAGTGCTACAAGCACCCAGAGTGGCGAGGTCCCTGGCTTGGGCCACGGCCCGCCGAGGAGAACCGTCGCGAGTTTAGCGAAGAGACGTTGCGGGCAGGTGAGGCCATCATCGGACTGCAGGCCGGGCAAAACAAGGGGGCGACGCAGGCGGGACAGAGTTTCGGCGCCACTCGCAAGATCTTACTCGGCAAATGAGATCTTCTTAGTTGCCAGAAAACGTCCGCCGAAGGAACGGGTGGAATTTATTCGCATATTTATGATAATTGACTATTTTTATAATGCTTGTAAGTTTTAAGTTTAAGTTAAAGAGAAAATTGTGTTATTTTTTACAAGGAACAGATATTTTGACTCTTCAATTATTGTTGATTAAATTTTTAAAAGATGTGTATGGTCTAAACAAAGTAGTGTGTCGATTTCACCCAAACTAATGCTTCTTGTTGAAACAAATGTTCACCCAAACTACACAAAGTATCTTACAGGAATGTCTAAAGAGTATGAAACAATATTTATGATGAGTCTTTTATAGTACAAAATAAAACAATAGTGCAAATGTATACATTCACACATACATGTTATATATACTGGATCACAATAATAGTTTAATAAACAAAATAAGTAAGGGTAGCTGGTTATTGAATATCATGCAACCAACAAATTAAAGGATCATCAAAATGTCCTTGAAGTTATCATACGAAGGAACTAGAATTTGCCTATGCGTGTCTAATTTAAAAATAGCTTAGGTTAATACTATTAGAATCACTTTGAATTCGATGATGGTCTGATTTTTAATAAGGTAAGATATTCAACAGCTTGTCAAATATATTACCTCATTATGAGCTACCTTACGAGAGGTAGACCAATTAAAGGATGTACAGAGCTTACAAAATTGGGAGAACCCAATGCACCGCACAAAAATCACAATTATTTCTATATTTAGAAACCCACACACCCTAGTCTCACGTACACACAAGTCTGTCTAAAAAATGTATGTGTGAACTCATAATTGGTTTCAGTTCCTGTCTCTTCTTTTCTGAAGAGTTAACACTGGTAGATGACCTCTACTACAGCCATGAAAATTATTGAATGTTTTCTATAGTAAAAGGCTTTCTCAATTTTGAAACATGTCATTTACAGTTATAGGCAAGTTCAAGACATTCTACTCTAAGTATGACATTTAACACATGCAAAACTCTTGTGATATGGATGTAACAAATAAATAGAAATAAACAACAAAAAAACAAGTTTCACTTCAGAAACAGGTGTGCTGAGTGAAAGAACAACCATCCAGCTTATCTTTGATATAAAGTAAAGAGAAAATTAAAGTGTGAACAAGTCAGAACAAATTCAATTCAACAACTGAATAAGTAAACATTACAAAATGAACCGAATTGTATAATATACTGCAGCTTACCATAAAAGAGGTGAGAGATCATGATTGAGAATGATTGGTAACAAACAATTGCTTCATAAGGACGGAGAGCAGATTGCCTGAGAATATGGGTAGCCATGTAGTGCTACAAAGCTGTTAAATTCTATACATGGAGCTGGCCCTAAAAGTGATAACAAACTAACTGCTCTCCAAACTTCAATTAAAAAAAAAAAAAAGAATTAAGAATTTCCTATGGTTTTAAACGGTATCATCTGTAACAAAAAGCAATGAAAAAAATATTAGGAACACTGACAAGCAATAGTTAAAAGAAGGAGGTCCAAAAGCAGTGTACATACCATGGTACCACCATTTCGTCTTCTTTGGATTTTTATTACATGTTTTAACATACAAGGAATTGTCTACAGGCCTCTTCTGGAATAATAAATGGAGCGTATTTAAAATACAAAACAAACAAACCTTTAAATTAAGTAGGAAAGTTTAGCTTTTCTTACCTTATCTTTACAACTACTGAGCATTGACATGATGGAAAGGCAGACACTCTGCACACTATGAGCTGGTGACCAGTCTTCAGTCAAAATAGAAAGGCAAATATGGCCATTACTATAAATATGGGGATGTACAGGAATGTGATTTCCTACAAACATTACCTGAAAAAATAAAGAACATTATCAGAATTAAATGTTAAGAACTACCATTTTTAAATAAATTAAATTAAAAATTTACAATATTGCCAATGTTAGTGCTTACTTGCGGTGCATCAAAAGGGTATTTGCTGTTGAATTTAAAATTGAGCTGGAAGTTCTCTCCTTCATACAAGGTGCCATCTGCTCCACGAAGGTCAACAGTCCAGCTAAAATAAAAGACAAGACACTTTTAATAACAAGACTGTTGTAGTACACTACAAAGCTTTTTAAATAAAATCCCTGTAAAATGTCCAATTACAGAGAATACATTCATTTACAGAGAAGAAATTCACTCACTCCTGAAGGTTTTGGCTTGTAGCGTCCGCGTCGATTGAGAGTCCAGGAGGAGGATCAGTCACAAATGCCATCAGTTCTTTTTGAAGTCTTCTCTGCAAAGTTTAAAGAACAAAACAGTTACCTCAATGATTCACTAAAAATAAATAATAAATATTCACAACCACTGCATGCCACATATAGCAATACAATGCACTGATGGATGCTCACACAACACTCTCAAACATTCAAAAGATACAAGTACCCAATTAAACAATACATGCAAATTTCTTAAATTTCATCCTACAGACTACAAAAATAACGGCGGATGAGGCCTCCGAGAGCTACACGTCAACCTCGCCCATAAGTTCCCTGTAATGCTGACCTCCCAGCGCAGGGCGTCCTGGCTGGACGGTTTGCAGGTCGGCACCGCCACGGTCCCGGACGAGGAGGTCCCGGGCCCGGGGGCACTGACGTTGCTCGAGGCCGCCGAAGTCCCTGCGATAGCAGGGGCTGAGGAGGAGGATGTTGGCGGTGATGACGATGACGATGAAGACGTCGGAGCAGAGGACGAGCTACCGATAGGCCCAGCACGCGCCAGCAGTGCCGTGACCTGCTCCATCGCGGCCCCCGTTCCGTGGTAGTACATTCACTGCAAGCAGTGCAAGCACACGACACTGTAGCCCCAGCACCTCCATCCACACGCCTGCCAGGGTCAATCCGGAGGGTCGAGTCCGCTTTGGCAGAATTGAGAAGTCCACATGGGCACACTGAGTGAGGGGCGAGTGGGACCCATGATGATAGGGAAGTCCACATGATGG